GCCATGGAGAGATTTGTACACAAGCAGAGCTGTTTTAAAGTCTATTCTCTGAGCCACAGGAAGCCAGTGCAGAGACCTGAGGACTGGACTAATGTGGTCGTACTTCCTGGTTCTAGTCAGGACTCGAGCTGCTGCATTTTGAATGTACTGCAGCTGTTTTACAGCCTGTTTGGACAGACCTGTGAGCAGGCCATTGCAGTAGTCTAACCTACCGGAGACAAATGCATGGATAAGAATCTCCAAGTCTGCTTTAGACACTATGTTTTTGATCCTGGCAATGTTTTTTAGATGGTAAAAAGCTGCTGATGTTACTGATTTGATGTGGCTATTAAAATTTAAGTCTGAGTTCAGTATTACCCCTAGATTTCTGACCTTGTTTGAAGGTTTTAGGGAGAGAGACTGTAGGTGACAGATGACGCTCTCTCTTTGTTTCTGGGGACCAAAGACAATCATTTCAGTTTTGTCTGCGTTTAGCTGAAGGAAGTTGTTTTGCATCCACTCACTGATCTGTTGGATACAGTGAAGGAGTGAGTCCACTGGTCCATGTTCTCCTGCAGTCAGTGAGACGTAGATCTGAGTGTCGTCTGCATAGTTATGATAGGAAACTTTGTTTCTGCGTATTAACTGACCTAACGGCAGCATGTAGAGATTGAACAGAAGAGGTCCCAGGATCGACCCCTGTGGTACTCCACAGGTCAGGGCCATATGATCTGAGACACAGTTTCCAATCTCCACAAAGTACTTCCTGTCCTCAAGGTAAGACCTAAACCAACTTAGGGCGGTGCCAGCGACTCCAACCCAGTCCTCTAATCTCTGTAAGAGGATCTCATGGTCGACAGTGTCAAAGGCAGCACTTAGATCTAACAAGATTAAGATTGAGACTTTGCCTGCGTCAGTGTTCAGCCGGATATCGTTTGTAAACTTAACGAGAGCAGTCTCAGTGCTGTGGTGGGGTCTAAAGCCGGACTGAAACATATCAAATGAGTTGTTGATTATAAGAAATCTAGTAAGCTGTAGGTAGACAACTTTCTCAAGGACTTTCCCCATAAATGGCAGATTTGAGATGGGACGATAGTTGTTAAGTACCGTAGCATCGAGACTGCTCTTTTTTAGCAGGGGCCTGATGACTGCAGTTTTCAGGGCCTTTGGGAATATTCCAGAATGAAAGGACATGTTTACTATCTGTGTGAGTGAAGGTAACAGACTGCTCAGAACAGACTTCAGAAATCTAGTGGGTAGTACATCCAAACTGCATGTGGAGGAGCTCAAACTGGAGATTATCTCTTGGACAGTTTGATCATCTACAGGTGCAAAGTGAGTTAGCTCAGAGAGCCTTTCTGGCTGTTGGATGGTTATCTGTGGATTGGAGACAATGGCGTTTTTGATGCCTTGAACCTTGTCATTGAAAAAATTAGCAAACTCATTGCATTTACGTTTGGAAGTTAGCTCTAATGGCATCTGAACAGGGGGGTTTGTTAATCTATTTACTGCTGAGAACAGAACACGCAGATTGTTGCTGCAGCCTTCAATCATTTCAGAAAAATACCTTTCTCTCGTCCTACGTAGCACCTGGTTAAACTCGCACAACTTATCTTTGAAGATCTCGTAATCAACCTGGAGGTTGGACTTGCGCCACTTCCGCTCGGCCCTCCGGCACTCTCTCTTTTGTGCCCTGACCGAGTCTGCTTTAGCCCACGGCGCCTTCTCCCTTTTTTTCACTATTTTAACCTTCACAGGGGCAACGGTATCCAGAACATTCAAAACACTAGAGGTGACAGAGTTAAACAGTTCATCTACAATAGAATACGATGAATTCTCAAAGTTTATCATTCCCATAAATAGTTCACTCGTATTTTCATTTATGCGCCTTCTTCGAGCAGTTGTAGAGTCCACTGGTGGTTTGTTAGTGAAACAAATGTCAAAAAAAACACAGAAATTATCCGAAAGAGCAACATTGACCACGTTTACATTTGAAATATTCACCCCTTTGTAACCAACAGATCTAGAGTGTGCCCTCTGCTGTGGGTGGGGCCACTTACGTGCTGAGGGAGATCAAAGGATTCAAGTACAGAACTCAGCTCATTTGCATTTCTGTCATCAACATTATCCACATGAATATTAAAATCACCTGTAATAACCAAACTATCAAAATCTGTATATATATATATATAGATGCATAATGTTTACAACAAATTATTTAAAAAAGTTAATATATTAATGACATCGTACCCGGCGTGTCCTACAGCAGCAGCGAGCCGTGAACGCATCATCCCCTTGTCTCCTGCTGCATGCTGTGGTCAATTAACCTGGCAAGAGCCAGATTGATGATTGTGTAGAACTCTAATGTGTTCTCCACAATATCAATCTGGGACTTCTGCAGGAGAATCCTTTCGGGGAAAGGTGGGATAAGCAGCAGAATACTTCAAGCTGATTGGGCGAAGTGACGCTGAGTGCCCGCCTACCAAGGTTTGACTTAAACCAATCCTGGTAACATTATGTCGTCATCAGCTTGCACAAAGCGCCTTGGAAAGTTCAGTCCTAAACATAGGTAGTATCATCCAAACAGCCACAGAGAGAGAGTGTGGTTTGTGGCTGCTCCTTCTCAGCCTCAGGACCCTCTCTTCCAGGGGTCGGAGTTCAAGCGTGTCAGGATCAGCCCTAAAGCTCCAGGCTACAGCACAATAATGTCACTTATTAAAAATGACGACTACGACCGCTGCCGTGGCCTTTGAGCCGCGAGGTGTGGACCGAAGCGTGCTGAGCGTATGAGAGTCCTGCTGGAAAAGGGGAGGAGTTTATTACCGCGACCACTAACGGCAAATTGTAAAGCCTTGGCCTGTGAAAAATGTTCAGATTAATACAGATTATTTACGACACTGTATGATTTTTATTTATTCCCGGCAGAAATTATCCAGTCATAAGTATTGACAATATATACATTCCATCACAGCGAGAAGGTTCTGGGTTCGAATCCACCCGGAGGTCTTTCTGTGTGGAGTTTGCATGTTCTCCCTGTGTCTGCGTAGGTTTCTTCAGGGTGCTCCGATTTCTCCTACCACTAAAAAGCATGTACGATAAGCGAGGGTTGAAATGAGTGTGTGTTTGTGAGTGCGACTGTGGCACGACAGATGCAAATTAATCATTTATCTACAATCTGGTGTATTTTTTTATTCCTGCAGACAAATAAACACAAGTACAGTTTATGAAGAACTTCTGGATATTGTTATGTTGCCTACTGCGCTTACAGCTTATTCTATACATTATATGGGTACTGGACAATGCATTTTAATATTATTGTTTGCTCTTTTTAGAATTATCTACTTAATGGTTTTGTTTGTATGGATGGATGTGTTTTAGCTGCTACTGGAAACAGAATTTTTCCTACAGGGATCAATAAAGTATCTACTGTATCTATCTATCTACAGTATCTATCTATCTACAGTATCTATCTAACTATCTATATCTATCTACAGTATCTATCTATCTATCTATCTACAATATCTATCTATCTATATCTATCTATCTATCTACAGTATCTATCTATCTATCTATATCTATCTATCTACAGTATCTATCTATCTACAGTATCTATCTATCTATCTATATATATCTACAGTATCTATCTATCTACTGTATCTATCTATCTATATCTATCTACTGTATCTATCTATCTATCTCTCTATCTATCTATCTACAGTATCTATATCTATCTATCTATCTATCTACAGTATCTATCTATCTACTGTATCTATCTATCTATATCTATCTACTGTATCTATCTATCCATCTATCTATCTATCTACTGTATCTATCTATCTACAGTATCTATCTATCTATCTACAGTATCTATCTATCTATCTACAGTATCTATCTATCTACAGTATCTATCTATCTATCGTTCTAGCTCCTATGGCTCCATTTACCTCTGTTGAAAAGAAGTCTCCCCACACCATTTTGATCTTAAATAACACTGTGCTACATGATCCTGGTGTTTAAATATCGATGTTGTCTTTGTAAATAAAGATATGCCCCCCAATAACTTACAAATCAGGTTCCAAAATCAAGTCTTGCGTCTAATTTTCTCTCTGGTTGCTATGAGGATGCTATGAGAGAATCTAGCTCCACATTCCCTGCCTGTTTGAAAGCCACACTTTATGGGTTACATCAGTACTCTGTCCACTCCTTTCTACAATATATTGCATTTTTTACATTTACTGTATATAATCATACTTTAAGCCAAAAAAGTCTATGTCCGAGCGGTTATGGTCCTAAATAAAAGCTTTGAGAGACACATAGGGAAATAGACTCCACGTATCCTCCTCACAGATCTCACTTCCTCCAACTGTAAATCTTTTAGCTACATGTTTAGAAGCAAGTTTCGACCTCCCTATGGTTCAGCATTTCCGCTCGTTCCGTGCCCTCTTCATGAGCTGCGGCATTGACCTCCATCTTGGCTTGGGAGGCTCCAAACCTGAGCGCTGTGGGGAAAGCAGCATTTTCTATTTATTGCCGGCGATAATGGCTGAATTATTCATCCGCCTCGCTGCTGATGAAGTGAAAAAGGCTGCTCTGGGTGCGAGGCCGGTACAGCTTGACGCTTCCACACGCAGAAGGCGGCTCTATACCCCAGACATGCACTCGCTTTAACCCTTCAAGGCCAAGAATGAGTGCATTATTTTACAGGTTAGGGCAAGAGGTATTCACTTGTTATTTTTACTTAGGGTTTGAGTTAGAATTAGAATCAGACTTTAAGTTAGTTGGTTCTTCTAGTCTATATTATACTATTGTACGATAGTGATGTTATTACTTTGACAGTCCATAAAGTCCAAAAAAGATTCAGCTTACAAAAGCTTGTCTACTAAGAAAACAAGATGAACCTTCCTAAATAAAACTAGACTTCTTAAACATACAGAATATCAAAAATCGCATCGCGGTCACAAATTTGGTCAGAAATATCACAAATAGATATTTTGCCAAACTGTGCAGGTTTATAGTTTCTATCAGTGGTTTTTCCGTGACATTGCTCGGTGCAGAAGTTCAGTCGCTGCAGACTGCATCCCTGAACTCTTCCAGAGGCCCAGGTGGACCTGGGGCTGGGCCGTGCGCTCTGGCCCCGTGGGCAGCTGGAGGTGGGCAGGACGTGCCCCGTGGCAGTGCCAGGGGAGGAGCCCGGGCCCCGCTAATGGAGCCAGCCCGCGGTGTCCATCTGGCGGCGTGCGCACAGGCAGAACCAGCCGCTGTCCCTTTACATTACACAGAACACACGACCTGTGGCCACGGCTCGGCCTGCCCTGGGACGGCCACGGGGAAAGAGTGCAGAGAGGAGCCATCTGCCCCTCTGCTAAACCCACAGCTCTGTTCATACAGTACATTCCCTGGAAGAATCCACAGTATCTGTGCTATGTCCTATTTCCAGAACTAAAAACAACGTCTTGGTCATCATCATTTTGCTCAGCACTTTGAGTTGCCTTGTGTATGAATTGTGCGATACAAATCATCTAAGACATCTAAATTAGACAACAACAAAAATGTCCTGAGCAGATATAAATTGCTCCATCAACAACCTTTGAGCGTGTCGACAAAGGAAAGCGACTCTCAAAAGCTGTGGAAACCCTTCTCAAACCGTACGCGTTGCATGCATCTCTCTTGAATGCATCTCTCTTGAATGCATCTAAAACCACAATAGATTTCCACTTCCAGCTCCGATCCAGTCTGGTTGTGGCTCTTTCAGGCCGCCCTCCACCTGCTCGGCACAACAGCAGCTGTGGCCTCAGAACCAGCGCTGCAGACATCTGTTACTCAACTCAACAGTTTACTCGGCCTCAGGGCTTTTTCCATTTTGGTTTGAAACACTCCAGGCAACAATAAGGTCGCCATGTGTTTGTTTATTTGCATTCAGAAGACGCCGTTCACCTCCACTTAGCCACAATTAAGCCATTAGTGCAATTAGCCATGGCTGCTCATTAGAAAGAGATTGTGGAGGGTTTTTTTTAGTGCGGGTTGTCAGCGCGGAGCCAGATCTTCAGGGTTCAAATGATTCAAATGGAGATGAATGGAAAAGGAATTTGTTATAAACGATTTGGGAAATTTAAAAAAACTGGAAAAAAACTCTATCTTTAGCATAATAAGGCAGCAATCTATAATCCCCATCGTTAGCATAAGGAAGAGGCAAGAATTAAGTTCAAAATCTCTGACGTTAGCATGATAAAGAAGTGTCAAAATGTCTAACTAATTGTATATATACTTCTGTACATGTTAGCGGCATAAGGCTCTGGGACAAAGTGACAGTGGAGTGGACACATGCACATATTGCACATTCTGACATTGTTATCTTATTTATTTTAATAAGATAAACTTTATTGACCTCATAATGAAGAAATGTACATGTCCCATTTTGTAAGAAAGAGCCCTGTGAGTCACTATTGGACAACGTGAAACTGAGAGCTGATTGGCTGAGTCAGGGTGGTCCTCTCTTCATGACTTTTCTGTCTGAAAGGGCTAAGCTACAGCTGTGACTTATAGGCCAGAAAAACTGTACTTGCATAAACTAGTGATAAGAACGAGCGAGGAATAATTTACATGGATTTTTTACACAAACAGTTGCATTGCTGTGGTTTGAAAGTTACATACCTCAGCTTTAAAAGACAAACACTATGAAATGATTTTGTAGTACATGTGTTTTCCTTGTTTATCGCTGCCCGCTCTGCACCGCCTCTGCTGCTGACTGTACCACACATGCGGATCCAAACGCAGCTAAAATTACCTCTTGAGTGTGACACGGGCCATTTGTACCGCAGACCTAAAAAAGCAGAGAGAGCGGGGGTAATTAGAGTCTTGCCCTGGATTCAGCTAATGCTACGTTCAGCACGAGGCCAGCTCTTAAACAGGTCACTTATAAACACGGGCTTATAACTCACACGAGGCGCGGCGAAAGTTTGCGCTGCAGATTTGCATGGGTAGATGTTTGCTTACACCAATACAGAGGGGAGTTCTTCATGTAGGGCACTGATCGTAAACTGGCGGCCCACGGACTGTCTTTCAAAATTGTTAGATGTATAATTTTTTGTCCATCCATCCATCCATTTTAAGGGGGGGGGCAGGCAATCAGTCAAGATTGCCCCAGATCAGATGCCACCCAAGTCACATAGCACCAGCCCCATATATATTTTTCAATATTTCACTTATTTTTGATCGATATTATCTTTCTTATTTTCTCCTGTTTTGCCACATTTTTGCGATTCTTTTTTTTTTTTTTAATAGTAATAATTGATTACTTTTCTGGCCCCTGGAAAAGCTATGTTCCAGCTTCTTCCCTCTGGCAGAAGATGATCTATTTCCCAGTATCAGTGGTTTTCTGTTTTGTTTGTTTTATTTCTGTACTTGTGCACACTGGGGACTCTTGCTGTACATGTTAGCGGCATATTCCAATATGGTTTTACTGCAAATGGCAAATCAATTAATCTGAATCTGATTTTAAATCTCAGAGACCGTCGGGTGAAACTCTGGCCCTCTGACCCCAGACCCCAGCATCTTTCATCTGCACTTGTGGACTGGTCCCCCCTCCTCAGTCCTGCACCATACAGCCGCAGTCCTCGTTCTACAGTCTGAGACCTGGATCTACAGCCTGTCAGTCCGTGGAAACAGCAGATCCCAGAGGTTTCTCACTTTTTTGGGTGGGTCATATTTTTGTGGATGATATAATTAACATTTGTGGACATAGGTCATTATTTGTCGACTTTTTGACATTTTGCCACGTTTACACCTCACAAACATAAATATATTCAGTTGACATTTCAAGTGAAAGACACACATTAAGAGACACACGACCATGAAGTGAGATGAAATATTAAAATTCTTTTTCAGTCCCACAATGGGGAAATTACATATTTTTGCTGAAATTACAGCTTGCAAGTCTGTTATGTCTCTACCAGCCTTTCAAACCTTGAGACTGCCAGGTTTTTTCCCCATTATTCTTTGCAAAACAGCTCAAACAGCAGACAATGAGCGCTTGTAAACTGCATTTTTCATATGTTTCCAAAGATTCCCAATTGGATTCAGGTCTATACTTTGACAATTTTCACATGTTGTCTCAATCCAATACATTTATGTTTGTGGTCATGGAATGGCAAAAAGTGGGAGGGGCGACGGATACTTGTTTTAGCTGTGTATTTTCTCGGGAGCTCCTTTCCTTGTTTCCCCCGCCTCATCCCTGTGCACTTGAACAATAGCCCCTCACGCCTCCCCTTCCCGCGCCCCATTCTCCGGGTGACAGCTGCCTCCGAAAACACAAGCAGGCAGAGGAATGACATGTCAGTGGAAGGTCCTTTAGCCGGAGCCGCTAATCTGTCACACACCGTTTGTTGTTTACCGGCCTGCGCGCGCTCGCCGGCCACCTCCGTAATGGCGACAGATGCTGGCCCGCCGAAGTGTGAATCTCGCCGCTCTCTCCCCGCTGTCAACCTGTAAATTACAGCTATCGGGAGTAATTAGAGGCGATAACGTGTCCAAGCCCCGCCCTCCCAATAGCTGCCATCGGACCCACACGCAGCTCTGGCCTGGCCATGACCTCGGCCTCTGCCTTTTTGGAGCCATTTTTTGGGATCGTAGCAACAACTTACTGTCGAAATAAGCTTAGATAGATATATAGACCATCTCTAAGTTGGTTAAAAATCTCTGTTTTGCTGATGCTACATATATTTATTCAATGCCTTTAGTGCGATCATAACTGTGGTTTGAGTTCAAGCTTTCAAACAGTGAATTAAATAGTTTTTTTTAAATTATAAACAGCAGCCATCTCAGCAGGGTGTCGGAGATTTGTTGAGTTACCAAAAGCAGATTAGAAAATTGTACCACATACTAAATAACACCATACAACAGTGGGAGAGACATTGGTCCATAGGATAACAGGATGTCCATAATAGTCAATAACAGTCCATACATGTCCTGGATCATCCCCTGGCCTATTGTTATCATTGTTTACTTTTTCCATTTTTCAATTTCTTGTCTTGTATAATTATTATTACTGTTTCATATTTCGGTTTTGGTTTTCTATTTCTTTTTTTTGTCATCTGTTGTCGTTGTATTGTTATTTTGTTTGTGTGTTTTAGTTTGTATGTATGTTGACTGTGTGTGTGTGTGATAAAAATATAAAATAATAAAAAACTGTGGGAGAACAAACAGAACCAATGGGGAGACCCACCGTGAGAGGGTTCCACTATCGGGGACGGACAGGCTGTAGATCCAGGACTGAGTCAAGGTCTGATGAGCAATAGTCACTTAGTGCTCACCGGGGGTATAGGGAGAGGGCTTCCAGAAGTGGGGTGGGGCTGTTTCTATCTCTCACATCATCACTATTCACACAGTTTGACTTGCGGCACGGTATTGCATATATGTGTGTGAACTTGACACTAATCCAGGTTTGTTTATTTCTCTTCAGTAAAAGTGACGGAAGCTGCCTTTAGTTTATACACCTTTTGTACCCCTATAATTGCCAACATATGTAGATTCTTAGTTTCTTTGGCCTTTATTAGAATGTGGAACAGTATGAAGTATATTGATATACATAAATATAAAACTGGAGATGTCAAGAATAAGCAACCCTGTCCACCAGTGGTAGAAGTGTGAACCAGAGTCACAAAGCGCTTTACAATCGTGGGCATTCGTCGCTCCCTCCACACAGAGATGGAAGTGAGGTTGCCGAACATGACATATGCAACATGTCATGTCATTAGTGGTAGGGGAAACCGGATCACCTGGAGGAAATCTAAATCACGGGGAGAACATAAAAACTTCACTCAAAAAGGTCCTGTTCCGACCAGGATTCACCCAGGACCTTCTTGCTGAGAAGCGAGAGTGCTATCCACTCATCCACCGTCCCATTACTTACATTATGCAAGATTTAGATGAAAACCTGAACATGGTTTGATTTACATAAAGACAGTTGTAAAGAATAGGATTTGAGTTTGAGAAATTTCCAAACGCTAATTTTGCAGCAACACTAAAAACAACAGGTCTTTTTTGAGGGAACAATGTAAAAGCTGATGAGTTTGCGAACTCCATGTGTCATTTTCACTGTACAGAACATACTTATTTTCTCAAACCTCTCATCTATTTACTTTTCAAGTCTGCTTTTTTAACTCGTCCAACTCCTAAACATTTTCTAGGTCAGAGTTAGCGTTCCCTGAAGCCCTCGTGACTTTGAGACTTTCCGACCAGAGCTGGCAGGGGCCCCAGTGTTGCAGAGGTGAGCCTATCCTTTACCGAGTCTACTCCTGGCTTCCCTTTCACCTGCCACAGCGAAGATTCCTGCATCTAGTCCAACCTCGTCTTG